TTCTTTTGCCATCCTCTGACAATCTATCTTCATCCTTTTCATTTAAAGAAAAAAAATAAAATTAATTTATTGTCATTTAAGAAAGTATCTACGACACCAAAACTCAAAAAAAAATATCGGCGGTACACTTTGGCATACCACCAAGCTTTTGCTTGTAGGAAGTTGGGACATTGTAGGAATAATAAAAATCCAACAGCCATAAAAACCGAGGCCTGCAATCAGCACGATTTGAGGTTTAGTGCCTGGTTTAATACACCATTTAAGGACACGACACGGTCCAGCAAAGTTCTACGGCATAATATGCAGCTTTAGGCTAGACCCTTCACAGGCCAAGACACATTTGCCTTTAACGGGGCAAAAATACTCTCTAGCGGCACCCGTCTGCTTAAATTGATGCAAGTTTCTTCAAAGAACCATGTTTTCTGCTACAAGCAATGGTTTACCAAAACCAAGGACAATGTCCATGCGTCCTTGTTGTTTTAGCGGCCACGAAGAAAACAACAAGGCTATAGTGTTTAGCAAGCTTGTATAAAAAAATTGCCGTTTTTCGCGTAGACCGCAATTGTTATGAAGGGCTGTGAAGGAAGAGAAAAAATAAAGATGAAAATAATAGGTCCATAGTAATTAAAAATAATGAATTGAAATTTATTAAACACATACACAAACTAAGCGGTCACGTAGGAATAACTAAAACACATGATAACATTTACAAATATTTTAAAATTAACAATATTTAATCAAAAATTGTAGAGATGTGTAAGAGTTGTAAGGTTTAACTTATTAAAATTTAAACGAGTAAACCCAAGGTAAAAATTTCTCTGAGAAAATGTTTGATAAGATTTCTACAGATATCTACGGTCCTTATATTTAAAGTAAACCAAGCACGGTGGTATACAAGAAAAAAGTCTCATGTTTACAAGTACAGATATTTATCTGCTAGAATAACAGAGTTATATTTTATGTACAATGCAACGGGCAAAGAAATTATAAAATGTTTTAAGAAATGGATGAAAAAGTATAAGACCCACGTTCATATATCAGATAATGGAACCGGACTTAGAAACAAAACGTTTGAGAGATGGCTTTAAGAAAACAATATTAAAACCACCATATGCATCTTATGCGAATGGAATTAGTGAAGTCATAAATAAAATAATCACAGAAGTAATTAAGATAAATCAAGGTAAAAACATTACGAAAATCATTAAACTGGTCACATTTAGATTAAACGAAAATACTAACAGAGGATTGTGGGTAGCCCCAAATTCAATTTTACGAGGATACAACTTTTTTGATCTAGATCAAAATCCAATAACACACCATATTAAAGCAAATAACGCAACAACAGTGAATAAATAAAAGATCGGACAAGAAGTTTTCATTCGAAATCAAAATACTCAGTTATCCAAGCAACAATTAATATGTAAGCCCCTTCAAAATTCAGAAATTGGGAAGAATACAACGACGGATCAAGGTTGAAACGTTGGAGAGAAGGATTCACATAAGGAATGTTAAACCTTAGAGGAAGCAGGATGTGATATACAACTACATAAATTTTTATATTTTCCTTTTTATAATAATTTTTTTATTAATAAACTAGCTTGCGCTATCCGTTTAAAACGGGATCATAAATATAATGTGTGCTCCTTTTTTAATGGATATGATGTGCCTTTATGTATGTATTTTATTATTTTTAATTATAAATTGCCCTTTTTATTATAAATTAAAATTTTCTATAGACACATTGGCTAAGATTAATATAACTAAATAAAAGCAAGGGAAAATGCACAAAAACACCGTTCCGTGCTTAGAGAAAAAAACCCCAAATGATGCTACTCATTCTTAATAAAAAATTTTAAAAATTGTAAAAAAAGAAGGGTTCAAAAATAAAAATGTTCAGATTCAAACTTATTATATACATAGATTTTCTAGAATTTTATTTTCTATAAATAAAATTTTTAAAAGAAGGGTAGCGCAAAAATGAAGAAGCACGAATGCCAGTATTATAGAGCATCCACAAAGATGGATTCAACAATTAATAAAAAAAGTTGGCTTTAAAAATTACAACTTTATCTGATTCCTCTTGGAATAATACTTTCGTTTTGGCTGCTCTGTTCGAGGTTACCACACTTGTATAACCCAATCGGAATTTCATCCGAGCCTGTTGCTTTGTTATTATCATATCTATTTGTGGCAGTTTGAAGCTTCTCCTTCGTGACGCCATCCGGCGGTTCCATTGCTGGAATTTTATTGTAGACATTATCATTGACTACACTTGGTGTTGCTAGTTTAGCATAAAATTTGTTAGCTATCTCTAGCTTCTT